GTCAGTGATGTTTGCTTTATGTTCTGCCGTGTTTCTGTTGGACGGCTAAAAGCCAACAGCAGCTATCTGTCTCAGTGGTGTACTCTGCTTTCAGACCACACACAACGTCCACCGTAAGTCTCCTCCAGCCCTCCAGCATCATCAATCCAGCTGGGATTTCTTTTTATTTAAGGTCCAGCTTTTAAAAACACCGTCTTCTGGTCTCTCAATACAATTTTTCAAATTAATTTAGGGTTTTTAATTTTCTAGGGAGAAAATTCTTGATTCAATAATTTTACTAAACAATCTGACGGTGGATTTTTACAGTGTTTAAAAAACTAAAACAAAGCATTCTTGATTATGTCGATTTAAGTAGGAAAATAGACTAAATATTTGTTTCTTCGTGGATTTTACCTTTACAATACCTTTTGGTGTGTAGCTATTGTCTTTTCTGTTGTCTAGAAAAAAAAATCAGGATTAATCAGACTTAAACAGAGTAAATCTCTAAAATTATTTATTGAATCAACAAACTAAGACAGAAATGTATTCATTTTCTACTATCACACATTTTGTACATCTGCTAAAAATCTTTTTAAATACAATTTAAAAAGTGTTAGTTTGACAAACTTAAACAGAATAAAATGTGTTTATTGGTTCATTTGCCTTAATTCCATATATTTTCCATATTCTGCATTTTAATGTAGAGCCTTTATAATTCATCGTGCTTCATATAAACAGTATTTTAGTTGTATAAAACAAAGGAGTAATAAGAGTTTTTTTGATTTACAAGCTTTGTCTCTGGACAGAATTAGTGATAATGAAAGTCCATTTAGGTTTATTTGTTTAAAAAAACTTGCCTTGATTTTATTTTGGCTTTTGAGTGTTTTCAATTTTTGATGACTTTTGAGAAAATATTGCCTCCATCAGCAGATAACTCTGGAAATAATTTCACATGAAAAACTGCAAAATCAACAAGGATAGACAGAGCTGGTTAACTGTAATTTTATGTTTATGTTTATTCATTTAGGAGACGCTTTCATCCAAAGCGACTTACAATTTATATACTATAAATATGAGTAAAATATATATATACACACACACACACACACACACACACACACCAAAAAACAGTGCTGAATTTTCTTTAGTAATAGACTTTAATTAGAAACTCGATTAGTGGAATAATTTCAGTGATTTAGCTAAAAATAGCAGTCACAAGCTGCTGCTTCAGGCAGCCTGATAAAAAGTGTGAGGCTGCCTGTGAATTGTGTGTGTGTGTGTGTGTGTGTGTGTGTGTGTGCGTGTGCGTGTGCGTGTGCGTGTGCGTGTGCGTGTGTGTGTGTGTGTGCGGGGGGAATCACAGATTGTCTGTGAAGCTGTCTGTGGGAGTGGAGAGGGGTCCTGGTGAGATGCGGTTATGAAAGCGAGAGAGAAAAGGGGCTGGCTGCTGTGAGGCTATCGAGCGGCGTTTGGTTGGCTTGATGCTGTCGATGGCCTTGGCCTCTGTCGCTAATGGAAATGAAGGTCAGCTTCTGTTTGTGCACTCTGGGTTCATCCTGCTGGAGTGTATTCGCAGCTGCACCTTAGTGAAAAGTTCTGTTCAAGCAGCTAAATCAGCTGGCATATGAGTTTATGGTCCATAGACTGGTGCAGGCTGCTTCGTGTCTTCCCTTTATTTAGATTTTGATGCCAGTTGTGGTTGATCCTTCTTCATGTTAGTTTGTCTTCATGAATCCTAAAGGAACAAGCTCAACAGGGACCTTGTCAAAGAACCTTTAAAAGCCCGTCTGAAAAATAGTGTGTTTATGTAGCGCCCCCTGGCTTTCAAAGAGGTCACTACAGGTAGAAATCTACACCAGTATTTTCAGTTGAGCGGGATTCGGTTATTGCAAGTGAACCTTTATAATTTATTGTTTCTCTCCTTGAATCTGTGCCAGTTTAAATCCAACTTCTTATCTTTTACTCTTTTTTTGTTTAGAATGTGAGTTATGTGGTAGCTCTCTCTGTTAACAGGGGATTCTTCTAAAGCATACACACACAAATTATTTCATTCATTTGTATAGAGGATGCCAGTGGGGTGATCCTCCCAGTTATTGAGGCTAAACATAGCATTGTTTCTGGGTTATTAACTGTAACAGCCAGCTATTGATGGGACATTGATTGTAACACAGCCCATGTGAAAACACACGTAAATGTTTACAGAACTTTTTCCAGTGCCGATCACAAATCAGACACCAGAAACTTGGATTAAAGTGAACGATGAGACATTTAGTTGTCCTTTAATTGGGTTTATTGATATTTGTGGTGCAGCCGGTTGTTATGAAACACCAACAGATGATGCTTACAGTACACGGTCGCTCACAGAGCCACAGGATCATTTTTTATGTGTTTGAAAGAGGACCTTTTGGCAAGGGCAGGGCTACAGGCAGTGAGGAAGACCGAGGGAGCAGAAGGGAGGAAGACAAAGTCCGATGGACAGAGATCACCTTATCCCACACTCTTTTTTACTGGTTTTCTTCCACCTTTCACGCTGTGATTTGCGTCATCATGAGCATCAAGCAGAAACTTCACCCTGTGAGTTTTTGTGAGCCTTTTTGTGCTTTTACGCTTCCTGGTGCTCTCCTGAAAATCTCTGTTGCAACTTTCTGTATAGTTTTTCCTGTTTTCTGACCTTTTTTGTTCTTGTTTTTTTTCCTTCTTCTCCTCTCATACGATTAATTTTCTTGAGAAATATCTGCCTCATTTAGTTGAAGCTGCACCCTAATTTTAGCAACCCGATACAGCTTTTGAAAATAATGTTGAAAAAAATATTTAGTTTATTTATATACTTGGTCTTTTAATATTGTTTTATGTTTACTGAGCATTTAAATGAGGAACTGTAGGTTTAGAGTATTGAAATGGTAAAGTAAATCACAGGCTAAGGCAATATATATATAATTTTATTATGTTTTTTTAACTCTTTGCAGGTCACATTTAAACCTAACAAAAATCCACTCGATATAGGTGTTATATAGAAATTTATCGATGTGTTTTTACTGTATTAGTTACAATGTAAATGCTTCTTGACAATGAACATTTTTATAATTTATATCTTATTTGTTGAAGCTGACGTCATTCCTTTCATTGCACCAGTGACTGCAGACGTTTAAAACGTGAACCCTTCCTGTGTCAAACTGAGCCGTTGCATGCAAACCAACAGTGCTGTGTGTTCTCTGGTCGCCATAATGAAACCGTCTGGTGGACGTCGTCAAGCCTTTGCATGCATGCTTACATTGTTTTTTCACATCAGTCGGGATGAAACCTCAGGCTGTTACAGAAACTATGAATTCTGCATCTTCCTACAAGGTTCGGGAGCAAATTTACTAAGCAGGAGCAGATATGCATACACATATCCCTCTGGAAGAGCATTTTTAGTAACTTAGTAGATGGACTTTCTCCTTGAGAATCTATTTCAAACAACAGTTTTGAACTTTTGTTTTTACTTTCAAAAGATGATGAGGGTAAAAATCCTGCAACAATTTATTGTGAATACTCTTGCAGCTCAATTAGAAGTTACCTAAGCATGTTTATTCATTCTTGATCAAAATAAAGCTCCCATAAATCATGAGAAAGGGTTTCTGCTCTCTGAGGCGATGAAGGCACCTGCTGTTTAATTGTGAAGCTAAAAAGCTGCTTGGAGAGTGGATTTTTGGCCATTTTCAGTTCAGACTTTTCTGTTTAACACAAATGGACCCAATCACTTCTCTACATGGAACCAAGTCGATGCCAGCACTTATACTTAGGTGCACAATTGACCAGAGCCCTGGTGAGAAACACCACGTGCTCTGCACAAAGTGGGGGTCACATGGTGCAGAAGCAGACGCTTTAAAAGAGCAGTGAGTTGTTTTTTAATCCACAGGAAGATTTTTTTTTTCTGCATGAAGGAGATACACGAGAGGAGATGTTTGCAGCGAGTGTGCTGCTGTGATCCACACCAGGATGAGAGCCTGGACATGGAGGCTCTGGTTGTTGTACCGGTCAGTTCCACTCACCGGTGATTAACCGAGTTTTGCTTGAATACAGGAACTGTTAAGAGTACTTGGCAGATCAGTCACAGAGGAGGAAAAACACCCGATAAGGATCCGTGTGTTTGGGTCTTTGGTGCTTTAAAACGAGTCAGACTGAAGAAGAGTTGGTGTTAAAATGTTGGTGTTAACCTGCTGTGACGTTTTCTGCAAATATGATTCATCTTTAGTAAAATGTGTTTTGTGTCAAAGCTGGAGTGTCTCCTGAACACTGAGCTTTATTTGGTGTGCAGTTTTACTTTTTTGTAGCATTTTTATTTTATAGAACCTCACAAACAACATTGTTTTGTTCATTTTTTTAATTAACTAATTAATTAGTATTATTTAAATTATTTAGAAACTTAAATTTAATTTTAAAAATGTGTTTTCCTGAAGCAACGCATCTAAATGGAACAAAATAAATATTATAGTGTAAGACGCAAACACAAGAAAAGGCAATATTGATACTAAATATGTTTTATTGCACGGGAAATAAAGTGTCTTTTCATGATGGAGTTGATTTGCTCCTAGTTTCATAATACAATCATGCTGAACAGCTGCTGGTGTCAAATAGTGTGTTTTCATGGGAAAATGTGTGTTCCAATGTGACCAAATGCTGACCTCTGTATTTAGTTTAAAATGAGATTGCTCCTACAATACGGAGTGCCTCGTTAGGGATTTTTAATACGGATTTATTACAAATGTGAGGATAAAATAAAGCATCAGAGTAATTTTAGACAACTCAGCAAACAACACGGAGAAAACAAAACTGAAGAAACTCTTAGAAAACATGGATTCATTTATAAACCAGCTCTTACAGTCCATTTATATTTAATCTCTTTACTATAACCCAAAATCTGAGCAGTAGAAATTGAACTGGGATGGGTAAATGTTGTATGTTCAGTTTCTATTAATCGATTTATTTGTTCATTCATTCATTTATTTCAAACATTTCCGCCTTTTGACCCCCATCCTTAGGTGTTATCTCTTGGTGCTGACGTTCTACCAGAATACAAACTCCAGGCTCCACGCATCCACAGATGGACCATCCTTCACTACAGCCCCTTCAAAGCAGTCTGGGACTGGGTCATCCTGCTGCTTGTCATCTACACGGCCATCTTCACTCCGTATTCCGCCGCCTTCCTCCTCAACGAGGCTGAAGACGAGCAGAGCTCCTGTGGCTACACATGCAACCCGCTCAACGTGGTGGACCTCGTGGTGGACGTCATGTTTATCGTCGACATCCTCATTAACTTCAGGACCACCTATGTCAACCACAACGACGAGGTGGTCAGCCACCCGGGTCACATCGCTCAGCACTACTTCAAGGGTTGGTTTCTCATCGACATAGTAGCTGCCATCCCGTTTGATCTTCTCATTTACCGCACCGGGTCACAGGAGGTGAGAAACTGAAACACAAGCAGGGTATGAGACTGAGCCCTAACTATCTACAGTAGTCAGAGTGATCTCGGTTTGTAGAATCGGTGAGACTTTTTCATGGAGGTTGCAAACCATCAGCTGTTCAGACTGTTAAAAATACAGTACGCTTCAGTAGCACCATAAACATTGTTTATTTGAGGAAAATAAGGAAGTAACTCTTTTCTCTCAACAGCAACAAATACATTATTTGCTTAAACCTTTAGAGGAGGTTTTATTGTCAAAGATGTGGAAAATGAGCCAAATAATGGTGTCTGTTGTGATTATCATTCAGCTTAACTCTTCCATAAGATTTTCTCCCTTTTTCTGCAACCTGAGATCATTCTGACAGCCTTCTGCTCCACACAGCCCTACTGACAAATAAAACATGTGATCTTAATATAGAAAGTCAAATAAACATCAGTGATCTTTATCTGGTTCACGGTATGAAAAATGTCCCTAAGGATATACAAAATTCATACCTCTTTCCTCAATGTTTCTCTTCATTTTTGGTGCTTTTATTTAAAGGTCTCTCTCGTTTGTTTTTGTTTTTTATTTGTTTATTTATTTATTGCTTTTAATAAAACAGGAAACTGTTAAAGATATCCAGCCGGTATTCAGCTCGTTTTAGTGGTTTCTCTGGTCCAACACACTAGATTCAGTGGTTGAATCACCTGTGCAACTAAACATATTAATTTACTACTATTATTATGATTAGGTTGTTTATTCATATTATATACATATACATACATATATATATATATATATATATATATATATATATATATATATATATATATATATATATATATATATATATATATATATATATATATATATATATATATATATAAGTCTTACTTATTCATTAGAAAATTAAAAAGATCGCCGACTCTGCATCTGTCGAGGTACATCCTCAAACACTTTCATATGTGCTGTGATGTATGTCTGTAGATTAGCGGATGCTGGTAATGGTTTTCAGCCACCCATGTCATGTGATCCAAACAGGTTCAAAAACAGGCAACTGAACTTCTTTGGTTTCTTGAAAGCATTTTGTTTCTTATCTGAGGAGCTTTTTCAATTCTGGCCAGAGTATGGGAGTGTCAGTTTTCTAAACTGTAGCTGTCTGTCGTTGACCTAGACTGGAAAAGTAAAGGAGACCTCAGGTTTCACATGTCCAGCTCCTACAATGCTGCTCTAACCCTAATTCCGAAACTGTTTCAGTCTAGGTCACACCCTCCTGGATCTAAACAAAACAACCTTTCCCACACAATGGAGGCAAACAACTTCAACGACTCAGAGAGGAGGGGTATTCCTAGGTAGTTTCAGCTCGTTAAGCAACAATAGACAGCTACATTTTATAAGCCTGAACTTCCCATATTCCAGGAAAAATCAACTAAGCTCCTCAGACGAGAAGCGAGACGTCTTCAAGAAACCAAAGAAGTCCAGTTTCCTTCATCTGAACCCTTTTGGATTAGCGGATATCTAACGCTATTGGTCAATGCTGAACAGGGGCCAACCCAAACATTCATTTCTACAGGACGGGACGGGCTTAGCAACAAAAAAAAGGACATATAGCGTACATGACATCACAGTACAGGGTCAGACCATCACTTTTTCAGATTTCTAAAACATGCGAAATTCCTTAAAGGGGGAACATTCTGGATTGTAGCTTTAACTTTCTCTGGATGAACAATCAACATTTGCGAAAGCCTCACTTACATGGAAGTCTTTTTGATATTCCACATCAGAAGCGTTGGTAAAAATAACGAGACTCTGTTCTGTCAGCAGACCGAACCTCAGACTCAAACCACTCTGATTGGGTTACTGAAGACAGCCAGATTGCTGCGGTTGGTGCGGGTGGCCAGGAAGTTGGACCGTTACTCAGAATACGGAGCAGCTGTACTTTTCCTGCTCATGTGCACGTTTGCGCTCATTGCCCACTGGCTGGCCTGTATCTGGTATGCCATCGGCAACATGGAGCGCACCGGCTCTGAGCGCATGGGCGGCATGAAGATCGGCTGGCTTGACAACCTGGCTGACCAGATCGGGAAGCACTACAACAGCAGTGACAGGATGTCGGGTCCTTCCATCCAAGACAAGTACGTCACAGCTTTATATTTTACCTTCAGCAGCCTGACCAGCGTGGGCTTTGGCAACGTCTCCCCCAACACCAACCCGGAGAAGATTTTCTCCATCTGCGTCATGCTCATTGGCTGTGAGTGGAATTCAAAAAGACCTTTTTCATGATCTGATGTGAACGGAAGAGTTCAGATCAAATCTCAGTCTAACTCTTGTTTCCTCCCGTCCCGTGGCTCATGCAGCTCTGATGTACGCCAGCATCTTTGGGAACGTGTCTGCCATCATTCAGAGGCTCTACTCTGGCACAGCCCGATATCACACTCAGATGCTGCGGGTCAAAGAGTTCATCCGCTTCCACCAGATCCCAGGAGGTCTGAGGCAACGGCTGGAGGAGTATTTCCAGCACGCCTGGTCCTACACCAACGGCATCGATATGAACGCTGTACGTCGCTTATTCTGAAGATTTTCTGCAAAAAAACTTTTAATAATGAGTTGTGCTGGTCTATGAGGAGGTTGTTGGTTCTAAACTGAATGTCTTCCCTCACACGAAGAGCACTCCCTTTGATTGCCATGTTCTCTGCTGCAGAAACGACCTGATTCCCCATCAGCAAGCTTTAATTTTCATTACTGTTTTAAAAATACTTTGCTTTTAGTTGAGCGGCGGAGCTTTAGACTGCACATGCTTTCCTTCTGCAGTTGGTGACCTCTTTACTTGTTAACAATGCGCATCCTGTTACAGCTCGGACCACGGCGGCTAATAGCGCTAGAGTGTGACGCAGCCAGACAGCAGCATAATAACCCACCAGTTCGATGTGAGAACAGATAATCCCGAATTGATGCCAGGCCTGAATTATTCCGACTGTTTGATCTCCTTCTTTCGTTCCAAGCTCTGTTTCCTGCACCTGTCAGATTCATTGGCATCCTCCACTTTTAGATTACTTGAATTTAAACCTGCAATACATGAAAGACTCATCATAAAATATATTTATGTATTTTTTATCCTGCAGGTTTTGAAGGGTTTCCCAGAGTGCCTACAAGCAGACATCTGCCTTCATTTGCACCGCAGCTTGCTGCAGAACTGCAAAGCTTTTCGAGGTGCTAACAAAGGCTGCCTGCGAGCCCTGGCCATGCGGTTTCGTACCACCCATGCGCCGCCGGGTGACACTCTGGTCCACAGTGGGGACATTCTCACCGCTCTCTACTTCATTTCCAGAGGTTCTATAGAGATTTTAAGAGATGACGTGGTGGTGGCCATACTTGGTGAGTTATGAAATATTTAGATTAGACTATTTAAAAAGGATGATTTTAAGTCACATTTAGCGTTGCTTTACAGCAATGACCAACAATAGCCTTTATATCGTGTTAACTCGCTCTTCTGTGCGTGTCGTGCTGCCAGAGGTCTTTGGGCACAGCTCCACTTTCATTCCACAACAGCATTGATCACCAATAGGGCCAGCGCTCAGATCCAGGCTGCATCGGTCACTTCTTTAACAGCAGCAGCGCCCGTGACGCCTGAGCTGCTGCAGAACAGGGCGGATGAGCCGCTTTGCCTTTTCTTTATCTGGAATCCCATCAGCTAAACTTACTACTTTAGGCTTTGCATTTAGTCGAGCTTTGTTCATTCTTGCTTTCCTGTTTTGCAGGGAAGAATGACATCTTTGGTGAACCCAACAGCCTGTATGGAAGGCCAGGGAAATCCAGCGCTGACGTCAGGGCTTTGACCTACTGTGACCTTCACAAGATCCTGAGGGATGACCTGCTAGAGGTGCTCGACATGTATCCTGACTTTGCTGACGTGTTCTGGAGCAATCTGGAGATTACCTTCAATTTAAGAGACGTGAGTGCCACCAGGGGGCGATGTTGGTCACAACATCCTCTTGTGATGAGTCCTGTTGGTAAACTAGAAATATGGAGTGATGGGCACTGTTGAGCATGAGATCTGTATGAATTACTGAAACTAATCTGTATCAGGCAGATAGAGTAAACCAGGCAACCCCAAGCAGGAACTCTGAATGTGGCTGCCGTCTGACGAGGCATCGAAGGAGCTCGCTGCGTCGCCGGAACAGGCCAGGTGAGTCCAGGGAGAGGCTTTCCACAGGTACCCTCTCCTCCATCGTGTCTTACGCATTCAGTCATGTGACATTGTCTGCACAGATGGAATGGATCATGAAGATCACCGTCTGAGCACAGCGGCAGGATGTCACTGGGGAGATCTCTGCAGTAGTGGAAGTGTTTGTTCACAGTCTAGTGATGAGGAAATAAAGCATGTGCAGCACAAGAAAGAGTTGTACGTTCATGGAGGCGACAGCAGGAACTACCAGCCTGCTGTGGTCAGCCTCCTGCCTCACAGTGGGCCCTCGGCTGGAGTGGGACAGACCGTGGAGCTCGGAGGTCCTCCATACTCAGGTACAGGCTGCTGATGGTTGTTTGATCGTGTCTGATGAGTCTCCATAACAACTAGCATGGTCTTAATGATCGCATGTAGTAAACTGCATGTTCTTCTTTTGGCTGGATTTCAATTTCTGAAAAATAAAAAGTGAAAATATGAGTTCAAATTAATTAAAAATGAAAGAAAGTTATTTTAATTAGGAGCAGATAGGGTTGGTTTTCTACATAAGAACACTTGTTATTGAGCAGCGGCGGCTCCTGCCAGCATGTCGGGTCTGTATGGATACTGGGCAGATCGCAGGTCCAGCCAGCTGTCGGACAACCAGAGAGGACCGTCCACCGTCAGGTCCAGCTTCCAGCCTCTGGTCTGTGCCGAGGATCGTCCTAGAGAGCTGGAGTCGAGACTTGAGCTGCTTCAGTCTCAACTGAACAGGTATGTTGACAAACAATAAAGGCTTGTGTTGGGGAGAGAAGCCAGGGGGCACCCGGATTTGAACCGGGGACCTCTTGATCTGCAGTCAAATGCTCTACCACTGAGCTATACCCCCCTCTGAAGACTAGAACAAAATAGACTTCATTGATCCCACAGTGGGGAAATTCACTAGTTACAGCAGCACCAACACTTATGAGAATAAATAATTATTTAGTTAATAAAGAATAGTGTTGTTTCTATTTTAAGAAGGTCAGTAATTGTTTTCTTAGGCTTTACATTAATTAATCTTGGCCTAATTATATTCATTTTGTTTTTATCTGCAACAATTGCATCGACTGGAGGTCCATAACATCACATAGCAGTTGTGCACCACATAAAATCACTCCGTGGGCCAAAAATGGCCCTTGGCCCCCACTTGGACACCACTGCTTTAAAGCAAACAGAAGTTTTAATAAATAGATCTGAAAATTTTGGGAACGCAAGCACTGAAAACAACAACAAATCAGGACTTAACCTGAGAACATGTAAGTGCAACAGTGATTGTTAAAGACCTGCTTGACACAATCACAACACGGGCCTTATGAACTTGTAGTTACGATTCTGTCGCAGCATTTGGTCGAAGCTTGAGCTGCTTCAGTCTCAACTCAACAGGTATGTTGAAAAATGCTAAAAGCTTATGTTGGTGAGAGAAGCCAGGGGGCACCCGGATTTGAACCGGGGACCTCTTGATCTGCAGTCAAATGCTCTACCACTGAGCTATACCCCCTCCTGGTCATCCACCAGGGAGAGCTAGTTTTGTTGTTAACACTCCATGGCTTTGTGTACTTTGTGTTCCTTTGTCTGCAAGCTGCTTCCTGTTTCCGTGTGCTGGCCAGTGATGCAGCTGCTGGGAACTTTAATGGAGTTATTTCCATGAATGTTGGGATATGGGAATCTGAGGGAACATCTAACCTCATAAAGGTCAAAGATAAAGCTGAAAATGAGGGGAAATGTCTCTGAATTCAATCATACATTCATTCTTTTTGCCTTTTGTTGTGATCATTTAATAGCATGTAGTTTAGCAGGAAACAGAGACACCTGGTGGACAGATAATAACCGTTCCAAAGACAATGTGTGTGTGTTTTTTAACAAACTCTTCACACCTCTTCTCCGATTTCTGTTTTTAACCAGGTTGGAGACCCGTATGACTGCAGATATCAACGTGATCCTGCAGCTCCTCCAGAGGCAAATGGCTCCTGTGCCTCCAGCCTACAGCACTCTGTCCCCCACGACTCACCTGTCTCACCCAACCACTCTGTACAGCTCAGGAGCCTCCACCCTCCACGCCATCCCCCCAGTCCAGATAGACAGCTCCGCCCCGCTGCTGCAGGTACCAGGATTGAGTCATCTCAAATCCTTCTGGGAATAAAACGTTTTTTTGGTTTTCTTTACTTATTTCTTTATGAGTAATTTAATCATTGTATTATGGATTAGGACATGTTTTGCATCAGTAAAGTCAAACATTTGAATGAAAATCTGGATTAATATATACCGAGTTACAGAAAACTAACTATAAAAATCTAAAATGGTCTTTTATTGTGTATTCTTAGAGCCCAGACTCTGACTTTAAGGATAAGTCCAAAGACTCCCAGTCCAGTGGTATCCAGCTGACTGTGGCGTTGGATGATGCCATGTCACCATTAGCTGACCCTCCACTTCTGTCCTCTGTGGATCTGACCTCTGCTCAGCTGTTGTCCTCTAATGCCCAAGAACCTCCTGGACTTCTAAGTGGAAACCAGCGCTTCCCCTCCCTCCCTGAGCACCTGGAGACCTCCACAGAAATGCAGGAGATCCAAAGGCACGTCTCTGATCCCATCCTGCCTGGCAGCTAGAACAGCATAGTCCTTTTAAAAAGCCATACGTGCTGCAGATTGTTGTGTTCCCATCCTCCGGCAAACCCCATTTCCTGCTGAGATGTTGCCGTAGCCCGCGGGACAATTAGCTCTCTGCATCACAGAGAGTTCAGAGTGCCTCAGCATTCCTTCAGGTCCTGTGCAATGAAGAGATTATTCCTGCCAACAGGGTCATAAAAACATTGTCAATCCCAAACTAACAGTACAGCACACTGACACAAAAGCAATCACTGGATCGGACACCAGAAATCACAAACTGCAACCCCAGACTCAGGATTAATAATAAACAGAATTTAAATGGAAATGTTTAATAAATATCTGCATTCACTTATTTTTCTATTTAAAAGTTGCACATTTAAGCTGGAGTAAATAAATAAACTGTAATAAATATTTTTATATTGTTAAAAATGTGCGGGATACATAAAACACCACGCACGTCATGAAAATAAAAACCGAGTGTTTGGTGTTCAGCGTTTCTGCAGCGTCTGTTGGCTGAAACACCAAATGAGAAACTGTTGGACGCACTGGGAAGGATGGAGGGTTTACGGTGGGACTCGAAATTTTTCACTTTCATCTCACATTTCTCATTCTGTTCTGACATGAATCAAGTAAAATTTCATCATGAGAAAGTATTATAGTAAACCAGATCAAACTCCATATGCTCTGTACGTGTGGGCGTGGTTTTAGTTACGACAGCCTGTTCTGTTGGTCTGTTTTTCTCTGTTCTCAGAATTTAAATAAGGCTGATGTTCATCCGAAAGTGCCAGCGTAGACGGAGACAGTGTTCTTGTTTTTTTCATTTCAAACAGGCACTGAGTAAGGAGACAGATCTAAATGTTTTCTGTTCAGTTCAGATGATGTCACAGTTCCAACCACGGGGGCTGCAGGATTTTGCAAGCATTTACAATTCTGTACAATGTTTGTTAAAGCACAAATTCATGTATGTTTTTTTTAATAAAGACACCAAGAAGCATCTCGTACAGATCTTTCTAGGCACTTATTTCATGAGCCCTCAAGTCCATAATAAATGTATACTCAAGGTTTCTCATAAGAGCCTTTAAAGTTGGCACATTATATTCCACAAACAAAAAACTGATCAGTATATAGTTGTAATATAAATTTTAGACGATAAATAGTTAAGTTTTAAAAACTAGATTCTTGTGTTAATTATTTAATGTCAGTAACAAGTAGGGATGCAAGAAAAAATCGATATGGCAATATATCGTGTTTTTTCCCCCCAGCGATATTATATCGATTTTCAAAAGCTGTGTTTTAATTTTTGGAGGAATTTACATGCAAACGTTTGTGTACTGTCTTTTCTTTTGGAGCAATTCATATGCTGACCGCTAGTTGGCAGCAGTGTGCAATGGGTTTTGCTTCCACCACTGAAATGTAAATCCCTCTGTTATGGTTCAGATACCTCATGTTAAACATGTTAAGTATCAGTTTGGACTGTTTATTGAATTTTCCTACAATAAATTCAGTCAAAAAAATCGCTAGTAGCGTCTGACTGAATGTATCGCAATATATCGTGATACATTGTTTCGTCTCCCCTGTATCGTGATACGTATCGTATCGCCAAAATTTCACCAATACACATTCCTAATAACAAGGTTGTATTACACATTACAGTGAACAATCTCAAAGTGCTAAAATCCATAAAACTGTTAAAAGTCTGAATAAAACCGGCTGAAAACAAGCAGGAGGACTTTAATTGATCAATCAATTCACACCAACAATAACGTTAATTGATGGTTTGTTGACTTTCATCTAATAGACTTTCTGAGGGATGAACACCAGCTTGGTATCAACTTTTCCAGCTCTGCTGACAATTATTACAGTACCTGTACTTTACTTGGGAAATTTTCTTCAGGCCTACTTTTTACATTTACTGCACTACATGTTCTAAAAAGCTTGAAAAATAAAAGTACTTTAATTTACCTCCCCCTCCCGCCCCATCCAAAGGCAAACACTTCACACACAGCACATATTAAATTTTGTGTTTACTTTTTAAGTATGCTTGAAAACGCATTCATTTCTTTTACTTGAGTCAAAAAGTGTTGGATACATCCACTCTTATTTAAAAGTACTGTTTGACCCAGCTTGACCCAGCTGGATAGATGTGACCTTTGCCACAAATTAGAGAACCTTCATCACGTTACACCACGTCGGTGATGACATAACGATCACTGGTGCTATTCTGGTCAAACTGTTATACTTCCATAATTAATGGGTCTGCAAATGGAGGGAAGGTTGGAACCAAATATTTCAGTAATAGTCAAATTTAGCAGGAGCAGCAGGATTTTACAAATAGTCTTCAAAGAGCTGCAAAAGCAGGAAAAAACGTTTCCTTATACGCATTTATAAAGAGTTATGTTTATACTTACTTCATCCCTGCTTTGTGGATTATTACAAGATAATATTCATAAGTATTATTAGATTTTGATACAGAGTCCCAATCCAATACAATGCATTATATTAATTAAAAAAAGGTGGAAAACATCAAAATTGTCCTTTTAAATAATTTTTATTATTTATTATTTTATTTATTTGTAACTTAGAATAGAATAGAAAATTCTATCTGTCTGGCACTAAACAGTTACAGAAATTTGTATTTTAACAGGCTCAATTTCTTGTTTTCATGTCATTTGTTTAGCTGCCAAAAACATCACTCATTCAGGAAGAACAATGATTAGAAACATGTTCATATTACAAATATATTTGATAGTAGCCTCGTTACTCCTAGAGTTAGGGTCATTCAGATTGTCTCAACAGTATGGGGTTGTGTTGAGCAATAAGCATTACCATGACCACACCCATGTTGCCGCCAGCAGACTCGCTCTTTCCTGTACAGCACCTGTAGTGCTGGGTGTGTAAAAGAGTGACAAGACAGCAGCTCATACTGCAGCTCCAGGAGACTGCAAAAACCAACGGTTGCAACCACAGAAAGCCATCCAGTGTGATTAACGTACTGCCATCTTGGCTGTGCTGTCCGTAGACAGTTTCTCTTAATTTTTTAGTGTATCTTTCAGTGAGAGCAGGGTGTTTTGTTTTGAGCTGACAGACTAGAGAACTAAAAGGAGACAGGTTAACGTTAAAACTAAGCCATTGTCATTACATTTTATTAATTATAGATTTAAGGAGATAAAGCTTATCTCTTATAATATCTACTAAGAAATCACAATGTAGCCTTAGAATACTACTTGGTGTGTATGTGTGTGTGTGTGTGTGTGTGTGTGTGTGTGTGTGTGTGTGTGTGTGTGTGTGTGTGTGTGTGTGTGTGTGTGTGTGTGTGTGTGTGTGTGTGTGTGTGTGTGTGTGTGTGTGTGTGTGTGTGTGTGTGTGTGTGTGTGTGTGTGTGTGTGTGTGTGTGTGTGTGTGTGCGAGTCGTGGTAGATGGCTGCTTATACTGAGCCAGGATCCTCTGGAGGTTTCTTCCTGTTAAAAGGGAAATTTCCTCTCCACTGTCGCTAAATGCTTGCTTAGTATGGAGACTGCTGTGACTCCATGCAATTTGCTGGGTTCCTTATGTAAGAAACTTTTTGCTGATTGGATTAAATGAAGTGAATTGTACTGGAATGTTTACTTTGTGAAATGCCTTGAGACGACTCTTGTAATTTGGTGCTATGTACATAAACTGAATTAAACTGAATTTGAACATCTTTATCTGAGGATAAATGTAAAAGGTTGTGCTAGTTGCTTTATAAGGTTTGATCCGATGTTTTCCCTTCATTCCAATAAATTTAAATCACATGATCAGGCCCAAATTCCAATCCTGTGATCAAACAGAATCATACCTATTAATAACAGCAATACATTGTTTCGTGAGATAGTGAGGTGAAACTGTCCTCTTGAGTCCTTATGTATTGATTTGTCTTTGCAGTGCGGTTCTTGAAAATTTGGAAATTTTAACTTGAAAATGCTTGAAAAGTGCTTGAATTTGTCAGTGGGAAAAGTGTAAGAAACCTTACTGTCCCTACTGTGAAACACGGAAGAGGCTCTGTTATGTTCTGGGGCTGCTTTGCCGCATCTGGCACAGGGGGTCTTGAATCTGTGTAGGGTACAATGAGATCTCAAGACTATCGAGGGATTCTAGAGAGAAATGTGCTGGCCAGTGTCAGAAAGCTTGGTGTCAGTAGCAGGTCATGGGTGTTGCAACAGGACAACGACCCAAAACACACAGCTAACAACACCCAAGAACGGCTAAGAGGAAAACATTGGACTGTTCCAAAGTGGCCTTCTATGAGCCCTGACCCCAGCCCTGTTGAGCATCTTTGGAAGGAGCTGAAACATGCTGGCTGGAAAAGGCACCCTTCAGACCTGAGATAACTGGAGCACTGATGAGGAGTGGGCCAAAATACCTGCTGAGAGGTACAGAAGTCTCATTGACACTTACAGGAATTGTTTGATTGCAGTGATTGCCTCAAAAGGTTGTGCAACAAAATATTAAGTTAGGTGTACCATCATATTTGTCCAGGCCGGTTCCATGAGTTTTTTTTTTTAATTATTCCATTGAAGCATGGTTGAAAAGCAATGTCTGGCTTTTATTAACCTAAATTCCATAGAACTTAATTTTTATTACTTTGATCAGATTCAGGTTATTTCTGTGACCATTGTGGGTTTTTCTTTCTTTGACTGAAGGGTACCAACAATTTTGTGCACCAAAGAATCCACCAAAGTGCTGAACAATAAGAGCACTAGACGATAAAAAGACACAACTAATAAAAGACGTCTGAGCTAAAAACTAAAATCAATTGGCAGTAAATACAATAAATAATAAAATCACACAAAAAATACATCTGAGCTAAGACACAAACATGAGAACAGCAAAAACACTAAAATCATGATTGTACAAAAAGCCAACGATAAAAGGTGAGTTTTAAGAAGTGTTTTAAACGTTGAAAGCAAGGTAGCCTGTCTAAAACAAGAAGGAAGTTGGTTCCAAAGATTAGGTGCAGCTGCAGCAAAAGCCCGATCACCTCTAAGCTTCAACCTTGACCTTGGAACAACCAGTAGCCTTAAGCGTCGTGGTGGGTCATAGGATTATTAGTTAATGAAACGCAGTCTTTAACAGTTAGACTTGAATGTAACATAAATTGTGTTAAACTGAATAGATCTGGTGGGGGAAAATATAAAGCTGAGAAAACTGACTTTAGTTTGTTTTTAGAGGAATTCATTAGATATGGATGAATTAAACGCCAAAGCCTAGTTACACATAAAAGAAGGAGTCAAGTGACACACAAAGCATTACACGCCTTTTGTTCTTTCCAAGTTAATGATGCTTTGTTCTACTGTTTCAATCACATTACCATTGAAGGAACTCATGACAGCACGATCCCTTTGTCTCTGTGACCCTTATACTCAACATCCTGACGTCTCAAATTTTCCTTTCAAATTTCTATTAAGCATGAACACATTCCCGGACCAAACCGGAAAGAGCCGAGGACCACCACTTCAGAGCGGGCCTCATTCCAGAGCCAGTGGCTAAAAGAGAGAACATCACAGAAAAAGGCTGTCTCTGGGTTAAGCACTGCTGATGTGGGGCTGCATAAGATACAGACAGCAAAGCTTCTTAGCAAAATGGACAACACAGCACATTCTCTAAACACTATAGATCAGGGGTGTCAAATATGCGGCCCGTGGGCCGGATCCGGCCTGCAAGCGGGTTAAATTCGGCCGGCGGGATGGTTGTGTAAACTTTATTTTCATACTTGACAATGTAGTGAAAGTAAACGTATCTTTGTGAGCAAGTTTCCTCTGTAATGAGTATAAATAAAACAAAGCTGCGCTCAAGGCTCACACAAGAACTTGAATCCCATCCTGAAGTTGGCCGCCACTCAGGATGTGACTTCTGATATTGATGTGCTGGTGAAAGCTAAAAGATGTAAAGTAAAATGAGTCAAATATACTTTAAGTGCTGCATGAAACTGATCTTGCCATGTGATCTGTAAGCTATTTGAATCACTAAGGAAT